GGTGTATTTAGTTGTCATGCATTTCATAAATTTATCATAAACCTAGTCGACAGAAAGTCATTTTTTGCAGATAAGTAGATTTAGACACCAAAAGCTTTGCCTGTATTTGTTTGTAAGTCATATCATTTGTCCTGTACCCGCTTAATCTAAATTAATACGTAGAATTTTTTCAAGAAATTTCTTGTTAAATTCCTCTAGCACGAGAAACTGCTTTCCTGTGAAATTAGTCGCACGCTAAATGTATTTTTTAGGTACTGCCACTTCTTACCATGTCAACCTCTGCCAGCGGCTAAAGAATTGTCGTGATGTCGTGGCTGTAGAAGAATGGTTTGTTGTTGTTGGCACACTTTGCTTTCATCGTGTTCGAAGGTGTGGGCGCTGCTTCTTCTGACGTGGCGTTGAACTACAAGGAGCCAGGGACCAGTGATACCCACTCCGTTGGCCAGCCAATGGCCTCTGCGGGGATAGACAGTGACCTTCTGTGCAATGCGTACTAGGCGCACGGCATAGGTCAAATCGAACAGCCTTACCTTGTTCGGAACAACTTACGATTCACTTTCTAGCGATTGCAATGAACGTGAACGAGATTTTATTTCTTGGTGTTAACATTGTACATACCACCAATGATAAATTTGCCACAATCATTTAATGTTGTCTTCGCAATTATTGTTGGCGAATTCCATCTTGCTCAGAAATGTTTACGAGTAAATTCTCGCGTGCTTATATGGCGGTGCCAGTCATTCCCCTGGGTCTGTAAAACGACAAGAACTGTGATAGTTGTGATTGCGTAGGTGTAGCGACAAGCGCATTTGTCCCACTCATTAAGCAATAAATGGGGTTCATGTGCTTTCCATCTGTTGGGATTAGTAGGAACTCGTAGAGAGCATTCAAGTGCCTATTGGGTGTTTGCCTCGCTCACTCTACCAAGTTTTGTGCTGTTCATACATCTTGAGGCCCTGACATGGAGGAAGGGCATTTAAGCCCAGTGGCTGTGTTTTGGGCTTGTCCGTTTTGCGAGGCGTAACGAACCGCCACAATTTCTGCACCACAGTGCTCCACAATAATGCCTCGACGAATCGACTTAAGCAGATGGTTGGCTTTTAACTCACCAGTAATAAATGTCCAGCAGTTGGGCAAAGACTAGAATATATAAACACGGAAGCGATTAATCGACCCATTGAGTTGTGCAGGCATGGGAGATTTGTTTTTACATCGACAACGAATTTTCTGCACTCAAAGGCGAACATGCTTTAAAGTAGTGATAGTAATTTTCGGCAGAATTGCGAGGAACTAACGCCACTGGCCCAGTGTGGCATTTTTATTTTGGAGCATCAACGCATGGACTTTGAATTAG